CCCCATGACACCTCACCCACCCCCACCCCCATCACCTCACTACACCACCTTCCCTCCATCTCCGGCACTGCTCCGACGATGGTTCGGCGATTGCTCCGGTGACTGTTCCGACTATTACTCTGATGACTCTCCGGCGATCACTCGACGGCTATTCCAATGATCACCCCGACACCCGTTTCGACGGCCAACTTCCAAATTTTTCCAGAAATTTTTTGTCACAATCAATCACAATTGATCACCACGAGTCACAATTCACAAGTCACAATCAGTCACAAAAGGGCACAATCGTCACAACGAGTCACAATTCACCAGTCACCATAGGTCACAAAAGGGCACAATCGGTCACAAACAGTCACATTCGGTCACAAACAGTCACAACGAACTACCCGGTAGTCAAATCGCGATCTAGTCATAGATTAGAAAAGGTTCGCCGACACCACCAACTCCGATTGCAGCCTTCTTACTCTGCAGCGGCGCCAACGAGCTTGTTTAATTTCAAAAATTAAATAAAAACTTCACGAGCGCCATCAAAACAACACCACAACAGCCGCAGTTAAACAACCCACAAAAACCAACCCAAAAACTTCGGCGCCACCAGATAAGCCATCACAGTACACCAGGTCATGCACCAAATCTCGCAATGCCTCTCATCGAATAGCGGAGTGAAGGAGAAAAGGTGGGAGCAAGGCTTCATCGACGGCGCTCCCAGTGACGGCTTCTAGTGTCTCCGACGACAGCTTCCAGATCGCCGCAAAGCGCAGCTGCCGTCGACTCCGCGTGAAGAGGCTTCAGTCCCTTTCCATTACAGTAGCATCACGGTGTTGCTTTCGTGGTGGTGACGGCGCCTCGACTTCTTTGTTGAAGCATCGGGATTGTGGTGGTGAGACGCGGTGTTTGCAGCACCGGGATTTGGGGGGATTATTAAGGTTTGGGGTTGGGTGGGTATGGAAACAGATCGGGATTGGGGAGAGATATGAGCTTAGGTGGGTATGGCTGAGAGAGGGAGACGAGAGAAAGGGTTGGGAA